ATATATATATATATATATATATATATATATATATATTAGGGGTGAAACGGTACACGTATTCGTACCGAACCGTTTCGGTACGCATGTGTACCGCACAAATACAGTTTGTTTGTTTTTTCTTCTTCTTCAAAATTCAAATAATAAATGGCGTTTTGACCGTCTTTTATGTGGCATGACAGATCGCTGTATAAACGCCTTAGAGAGCCGCTTCTGGGACGGTTCAGAAACGTGCTGGGATAATCCCAACACAAGCACTGACTAGAGCGGCCGAGATCAGCTCCGGTTCCGGTGTCTGAGCCGTGACGCCCCGCAGATTTGTGCAGAGCGGAGCGCGAGTGAACGCGGTCATTCCTTCCTCTGTACTACTAGTTTTTTACGCGAATAAACATGACTGAACATCTCATGCCTCATGTGATTGCTCAATCAGTGTTTCAACCGCGGAAAGACATCAACAATATAGCGTGGAAATAAAATGTCACGTAGCATTTAATTTATCTCAGCAAGTCATCAGTGTCCACAGCTCGTTCACTAGAAATGAAGTCTAGAGAGAAGCATTTTGCGAAATATTACACCATCTACTCATTATATTTTACTAAACCTGTTAGTCTTAATTACTTAATGTACAGTATGTTTAAATTAATCTGTTTTGAAACATGCTATGACAGCCATTGTGTAATTGAATATATTTTAACAAATAGCTTAGAAATTGTATTATTTATAAGTTAATTTAAAAACTGCATTATGTGCAATTTACATGTTTGCATACAATTTTTTATTTTATTTTATTTATTTTTTATGTTGAGTGTTGATCATCTATTTAAAAATAAATAGCAATTAAATTTAAGTTTGGGTTAAGTTGTTAGGCCTAATTGTAACCTTATAATATAAAAGGGCTCCCTATAGTTTTAAGCATAAGCTGAGGTAGATTTTTATCACTAAGAAAAATTTAACTATATCTGAATGTATTTAAAGAAAGAGCAACTTGTTCAGTAAACCATAAAAAAAAAAAAAAAAGTTTAGTTTTCCCCCTGCTGTACCGAAATCATACCGAACCGTGAGGTTAAAAGCGAGGCACGTACCGAACTGTCATATTTGTCATATTTAAACCGTTACACCCATAATATACAGTATATATATATATATATATATATATATTATTTTAGTTAACGTAAGCCTTATTTTCCAAATATATTTTTCAAATATGTACAGTACATCTGGCTCAGGGTGTGTTTTGTTGTAAATGTGCCGATGCTAGTCAGTGCTGGTTGATGTGTGTTTTAGATCATGTTCCTCTCAGACTGAGTGGAGGGGAGGGCCGGTGCTCTGGGAGGCTGGAGGTGTATCATAACGCTGTGTGGGGCTCAGTCTGTGATGATCAGTGGGACATCAGCGATGCTCAGGTGGTCTGCAGGCAGCTGGGTTGTGGAGCAGCACTGAGGGCTGATGGGAATTCAGTCTTTGGTGCTGGTGAAGGTGTTGTGTGGATGAACAAAGTTGAATGCAGAGGGAATGAGATTCACCTGTGGGACTGTCTTCTCTCCCTGAATAACCACACTGACTGCTCACGCAAGAAGCTTGTTAGACTCACCTGTGCAGGTCACAACAAAAATTTGTGATAATTTTAGTTTTAATAATAGTTGAGTGTTTATTCAGTCATTTGCATTATTGTTAATGTGTTTGTGTCTGTTTTGCCAGATGTGTTAGTGTCCACTACTCCTGCCACAACATCATCAGTCACTCCTCCACAAACTCCTCCAGCAGCATCTCTCTCCGTCCCCCCAGTGCTTGTGATTGTTCTGGGAGTTGTGCTCTTACTGTTCTTAGTGCCACTGCTTATACTGATTCAGCAGAACAGAGTGATGAGGAGAGGTAGGAGAGATCCAGAGACTGTCATATTGTGTCTTATTCAGTGTGTGATCAGTCATGTGTTGTGAACTGACAGCAGGTTTGTCTGTCTACACTCACAGCTCTCTCTAAGAGGAGACACAGGACGACGACTGAGGCCGTTTATGAGGAGATTCAGCACAGACACAATCACTTCACTCAGAGAGGTGAGACATGAGCCATCAGTCTAATGTAATACCATTAATAAGAGTCTGTCAGACAGTTGATGTTCATCTAT